AGCTTGAAGTTTGGTTTCAATATTTAGATAATTAATGTCGTTCCACTGTAACGATGTATTCAAGCGACAACCCATTTGCTTCATGATCTGCCCTCTTAGTGTGTCAATCATGCTTGTGACAGGTAGGTTACACAACTTCGTGATCCAAGCATTGAATGACGCAACCGCATTTTAAGACATCTCTCCATAATGTTTTCCCTTAAAAAAAACATTCACCCATTTCTCAAACAAAAGGTTTTTTAAGAACTTATCAGCAATGACTCCTCTTTCACGTCGAAACGCATCCAGCTTTTCATTAAAAAATGCCTCTATCGGAGCATAAGCACACAATGTAAACAAAAAAACCATCCGCTTGTGAAACACATGGGTAAAGCGACCCCTACTATACTTATTTCTTAGATTTGCTTTTAGGTGTTATAGGCAGAACGAATGGTGCACCGTTGGGAACACCTTTGGCATTGCTTCCACCAAGCCAATGTTGCGATTGGACATAAGTGTAAGGTCCCTAGTACTATCAACAATCTCAGCTAATTGTTCTAAAAACCAATGCCAATTACTCTCATTCTCCGAATCAACAACAGCAAAAGCCAAGAGGAACAAACATGCAATACATATACCAACACAAACAGTAACATAAAAAATAGTAACATACAAGCAAAATATTAAAAATGTAACAGTAACATAAAATCAGTAACACCAAATTAAACCAACAAAAAAATCACCTTGGTTGCCATCTTTTGCAGTTGCAGACAAAATAATGCTTTTATACCTTCCCTTTAAAAATGTACCATCAATGAACAATATAGGTCGACAATAGTTAAATCCATGTATACATGCCTTAAATGACATGAACCACCTATCAAAATGCTGTGTCCGAATCACCTTCCAACACAAAATGACTACCTCGATTACTTTCATTAGCAGTCTGTACATACCACTGTAATTGTTGGTATGATAACGAATGATCCCAAACAGCATACCCATTCCTTTTTCAACACTCATCCAAGCTTGATCATATGATATGGTCAAACTATAATCTATATGAAACATATTTTTCACATCAACAGGTCATGTGTCAAGTTTTTGTTAGACGTTGTCAACAATAAGACCTCCAACCAAATTAGAAGTTAATCTTTTGTTCTTTATCGTACATGCAGCCACACCACACGTGTGCTCATTGTTTAATTTCTTAATGTAAAACTATCCATTTATCTGCTGGAGTGTAGCAACAACAAACCACTCACACCCAGTACAGTAGAATATTTCATGGCACATTCAGCCTTCACCCATTGTTTTTCATTCTTCACATAATTAAATTGAAAACTATCCTCAATTGCATATTTGCATAAAGCATTCTGAAAATCAGCTACTCCTCCCTTAAACTTTTCACCAACCTCTACTATTTTATTTGACCATCCATTAATCAACAAAACCTTCTCATTGTGAGAACAAAAACGAGGGAGAAGATCATCCTCGCGACCAAAAGGGTCAATAATTAATTCAAAATTTTCCACTGCTTCCCCACCCTCAAAATCACGAACCTCATTTCCTTTAACACCAACTGTAACATCAACAAAATTTAGCTGAACAGATCGTGCAATGAAAAACATGTTTCTCACATCATGATCATTTTGCAAAGCACAATTCGGATGTCCAGGAATAGCGTACAACAAGGCAACACAATTTACACTCAAACCATTCCAATTGTCACAAACACCATGTAACACATCATCAATCGTGGAATTCATTGAAATTCTTAGTACAACAGTCTCAAAAGAATACTTGCAACAAACCAATATGTTATCTTCCATCTGTTATAACCAATAAAACAAAAATAAAGGAGAAAATATAGAAAATCAAGCATAATCAATTCTAATTCCAATAAATCACCACCACTAACATGAAAAAAAAACTTAGAACCTAATTTTAAAAAAAAAAAAAAAAACTCTAGTAAAGAACGTCGCGATACGAATATCGGATAGTGACATTGAATTTCGGCAATAACAAAGGAAAAAAAATAAAAAATAATCAATTCTAATTCCAATAAAAGAACGAACAGTAACATGAAAAATAAACTTAGTACCTAATTTCAAAATAAATACCTTCGGTGAAAAAAAGTTGCAATACGAAATTTCGGTAAGCAACATAGAATTTTCGGCAACTAACTTTCAATTTATGGTAAATGTATTAACAACACTATTAATCATATTATGTAAATCAGCAAATTACAATGAAAATATCTCAGGAAATCAAGAACAAGTAAGTTGACCTGTAAGAACTCCCAACTACTTCTTGTATCACCTTCGAAATTCCTATCAAACACAAATGACGTAGTGGTATCATGTAAAGAAGTAAAACACTGCTTGCTTCCTAGAAAGAAAAAATACCGTTCGAATTTCCGGTGAGATTGAAGCTTGTATAGTAAACAACGAATTTCCTGTGCTTTAGAAATTAAATTTGAATTTAAATTGTTAATGGAAAATTTTGATATGAATTTGAGTTAATAGCCCAATAACTTTGACGTAAATCATGCAGCCGAATATGATATATTATGTTTCCTTAAAAAATTGAACAATCTGTTACCAAATATATCTCAAAATATCTAACCTATGACTTTCCATAATTGTCCAAAATTAACACCGTTAGGGGTGTTTTTGAGATAAAAAAAAAAAAAAGTGGACTTAAGTCATTACATATAATTTTAAACATGGACTTAGCTCCCTATAAGTTTCTTTATCGGACTTATCTCCAAACAAGTACATTTAGGGGAACTCACCTCCAATTTTCTCTAAAGTTTTTGGCTAAAAGCCCAGTTGGGAACAATAGGTCTAATATACCCCTAAAAACAAATTAACTGCTATCAGGTAATTGATTAGGAAATTAAATATATTAGCCTTTGAAAGAACGCCATTAATGATCACTTTTTGATCAAACAACGGAAGACGAAACCCATATTCTACATACATTTTAAATTTGAACAAGATTCTTATACATTCCGTGAGACAAAAGATTTTAGAAAATTCAAAAATTGCCTTCTCAAAGACGTTTAAGCATGCATAAAAAAAACTTCCTCGAGTGCATCTAAGTTATAGGGTTTCATCTTCAACAAAAACGATTGTCGACATCTTATTTTCATCATCAATGAGCATCATTAGGATTGGATTCTTGTATTCACTAACATAATAACATGTATTATAATCTCATTTGTTGAATAATAGTCACTGTATAGTAAATGATCTTGTTCTCTATATACCCCCAAATCTCTAAGAAAAAATTCCCAATTTGAATTAAAATTTATAAATACGAAATTCATTCTTTGTTCAATTAAATATTTTTTGAAAAAACTTGTAGGCAAGGATGGATAAATAATTTATTTAATATGTTTCTATATATTATCACTTTAAAATTAAGATTTACGCTCTTTGGTATTATTAATGCAATCTGGATTTAGTACAAATTTGAATATGTTACTCTATAAAGTCGGTCTATGCAGTCCCTCCATCAATGCACTCTATGATGTCACTGTATGTTGTGGTTATTTTTATTATGTTGTTAAACAGATGAATATGTGAATGAGTGAAATTCATATTTTATGGATTGGCACAAAACATGGCAAGAACAAGATCATCATTCAAAAATCAATATAAAGCTCAAGCGTAGGCAATTGGTGTCTTACCAAATAATTGACACATCAACAATTGTCATAAAAAAATCTCAGCACAAGATTTTATAAAGCATCAAACACAATGCTAACTCCATAAAGGAATCAAATATTTGGTTTAGAGTATAAGTCAAAAATACAAAACATAATAAGGGCAATGCGTGACACCGTGATAAAAGAGAAAAAACACAAACATATGCATCCATCCAACCAATAGTACATGTCAAGGAAAGAATATGATTCAAATAAAAAAGAAATTAAACAACATTAACAAAAACAGTGACATCAAATACATATATCCCGTGAGATCCCGTATTTCATAAAAATATAAATGATATTAGCTTGATAATATTTTTAAAATGATTAAAATGATGAAAGAAATTTCGAATTGTTGTTAAATGAATAGTCGCATAAGTTTGAGCTACATGCGTATTGACTTTTAGATTAAATTTAATTTTTGAGCTGTTTAAGGTTGATAAGGATAATTAAGTAAATTTATTAAATTTTTTATGTCAAAATAACATTACCATTCAATCTGAGAGGTCCGAAAATCTTGAAATAGACGTTTAGCTTATATAGTGATTCAAATGGGTAAAAATTATAAATTTGACATTTTGGGTACAATTTGACTTGGATTTGTATAGAACTCATAAAAATAAATGTTTTTAGCCTAAAATAACATTAAAAATGAATCCAGAATGTCAAAAAACCTTAGGGTAGTCATATGGATCAAATTGGAGAAGTTTTAGGACAAAACCATAATTTTGAAGAAAATACATTTGTTTTGGTCCTATGAATAGTACCCGGTGTGAAATTCAGCTCTTATAACTCCATTTTCACCTCTATTTCTCTCATTTTTCTCACACCTCTCACCCAACACTACTTCATAAACCTTAGAATTAGAGAGAGAAAGAGAGAGGAAGAGATAAGAAGATCATTAGAGCTTGGGCTTTTGCTTGAAAACTTAGGAACATTATTTGAGATTCTTGAATTCACTTGAAGATTTGAAGATGAAGTTTGGGTCCTTGGCTTTTGAGGTAGGGTTTTCCTTTCTTCTGCATATACATTGATTCATCTCATGTATATTCTATATCTATTTGTTTAGTATGAGCAAAATACATGTTATGAGTCTTAATTAAATGATGAGTTTACTATGAATTTGTAAACCTACATGTATTAAATGAATTTGGTTGTTGTGGGTTTGAAACCCTAACTTGATTTTTGTTATGGGCGTTTGATTGAACTTAAGATTTTGGATTTTTTAGAATATGTGTGATTTTGTATATAATGTATTTGATTTGTCTCTTAAGAATGAGTGTGTGGAAGGGTGTATTGTCAGGAAGCTTGACAGGGTGCTCGTTAGTGAAGCGTGGAACATTAATTTTCAACAATCAGAAGCAATTTTTCTACTTGCAGGTGCTTCCGACCATTGCCCTTTCACTCTCAAAATTGGACAAGAAAAAAGGAAAAGAAGGAGCCCCTTTAAGTTCTTTGACTTTATGGCAGAAAGGGGGGACTTTTTAACTACTATGGAAGGGATCTGGAGGGAGCCCATTCAAGGAACACAACAGTTCCAGGTTAGCTGCAAACTCAAGAAACTTAAGGCCATTTTCAAATCTAGAAGTAAAGAGGTGGGATAAGTATCTGCAATTGCAAAGGAAGCAAAAGAGGCTTTGGAAAGGTGCTAAAGCAGATTAGCTCACAATCCAATGGATTATAGCCTCAAAGTCCAAGAAAGACAACTTTTAGCTAGCCAATCCAATGCGGCTAGAAATGAAGAATCCTTTTTCAAACAGAAATCAAGAGTATTGTGGTTGAAGGAGGGAGACAAAAATACAGCATACTTTTTCCAGACTATGACTAAGAGGAGGAACAGAAAGAAAATCCTGTCTCTCCAAACAGAAAATGGGGTCACAATCGAAGGAGACATAACAGTGAAGAGAGAAATTGTGGAGTTCTATCAGCAACTGCTTGGAAGTAAAAGCCCTACTAGTAGTGGTCAAGCAAGGAAAAGAATTCTTTTCTGCATGGTGCATCCAAAACTTAATGAACAGCAGTCGAAAGACATGATAAGAGAGGTTTCTGCGGATGAGATAAGGGAGGTGTTTTTGGAGGCTTGGCCAGTGATAGGAGGCGATGTTATAGGTGCAATTAGAGAGTTTTTTTCCACTGGGAACATGTTGAGAGAATTCAACAATACCATCATCACCTTGGTACCCAAAGTACAAAATCCCACAACTATGGGGGAGTTCAGGCCTATTTCATGCTACAATGTGATCTACAAAGCAATCTCCCAGATCATTGCTAATAGAATAAAAAAGTATTTGAATGGCATTATCAATCCTAGCCAGTCAGCCTTTATACCAGGGAGGAGGATCAGTGATAACATTCTCTTAGCACAAGAGATTATGAGGGATTATCACAAGGAGAGGGGTTCACCTAGATGTACTGTAAAGGTCGATATCATGAAAGCTTGTGATACCATTGATTGGCAGTTCATAATTGACACATTAGAAGCTTTCAATCTTCCTGCTAGAATGAAGAGCTGGATATGGTCTTGTATTGCTTTTCCTAAGTTCTCAGTGAACATTAATGGAGAACTTGAAGGATTTTTTCCCAGTGCAAGGGGGCTAAGGCAAGGGGATCCTTTGTCCCCCTACCTATTTGTTTTGGCTATGGAGGTCCTCTCATTGTCAACAAATCAAAGAATCAACTCCAACGCTCAGTTTAAGTTCCATTGGAGGTGCAAAAAGCTGAAGTTATGTCAACTCACATTTGCTGATGATTTACTGATGTTCTGTCATGGGGATATTCAATCTGCTACGACATTAAAGGAGGCTTTAAACCAATTTCCATGGCTATCAGGATTACAAGTTAATCCCAAGAAGAGTTCTTTATTCATGGCAGCTGTTGATCCTCAAGACACGAAGCAAATTATTGATTTATTTGACTTCCCTAAAGGCAACCTGCCCATCAGGTACTTGGGGATTCCTCTGATCTCCACCAGAATGAGGACTATACATTGTCTCCCTCTTATCAAAATAATTGAAAGCAGAGTCAAGAGCTGGACAAACAGGTTTCTTTCATATGCAAGGAGGATGCAGCTGATAACATTTGTGCTTGGTAGTATCCACATTTTCTGGTCATCTCATCTTACCAGTGCAAGTTTTGGATAAGGTTGAGCAGATAATGAGAGCTTTTCTGTGGAAAGGGGTTGAGCTGACAACTTCTGGGGCAAAAGTAGCTTGGATTGAGATATGCAGACCAAAACATGAGGGAGGCCTGGAAATTAAATGTCTTAAGGAATGCTCTCATGATGAGGTACATGTGGCTATTGTTTGTGGCTATTGTTCAATGATAAAGAGAGCCTATGGACCAAGTGGATCCATGCTTATCACCTGAAGGGCAGAAGCCTCTGGGTAGTAAAGGGCTCTAGCACTAGCTCATGGAACTGGCAAAACCTACTGAAAGCAAGGAGGTTGTTCAGACCACACCTAACACATTTGATTGGGAATGGTGAATCCACTAGTCTTTGGTATGATAATTGGCACCCCAATGGGCCCCTCACAATGAATTGGGATCCCAGGATAATCGCAGACTCTAGACTGCCCAGGGAAGCAAAAGTGAGTTGCATCATAACCAACAACCAATGGCATTGGCCTTGGGGCACTACTGCTGAAATCAAGGAAATAGCCAACTCAATGCCAGCATATGTTCCTAATCAAGCAAGAGAGGATAGGGTTAAATGGAATCCTAGTACAAGTGGGAAGTTCACAACCGATTCTGCTTAGGTAACCGTCAGGAGCTCCAATCCAAAAGTACCTTGGTTCAAGCTTGTGTGGTTTAAGCAGGCAATCCCCAGAATGAGTTTTATCATGTGGATGGCCGTTAAAGGGAGATTGAGCACAAAAGATAGGATTTAATTATTCAATCCTAATATGGGAGTTGACTGCATTCTTTGTAGAAGGGCTACTAAGACTCATTCTCACTTGTTTTTTGACTGTTCTTATTCACAGGTTATTTGGAACAAGCTTATGACTATGAGCTCTCAAGCTTGGCAATATAGATGCTGGACTGATTTTATTCCCTGGGCTGCTCTACTTTGGAAAGGCAATTCCTTATTGACTGTGTTAAAGAAATTATGCCTCCAAACGACTGTCTACTACCTATGGAGGGAGAGGAACAACAGGCTCTTCAGGAATCAATTCATGGACCATGATTCAACACTACACAGTATATTGATGGTCATTAGGGACAAAATGGCTTCACTAAGGTTTGATAATTGTCAACATAACCAGCAGGTAGCAATGCAATGGCAGTTACCAACTCAATGCCTAAATGCATAGTGTTTGTGGCAAGGGAAATCTTTCCTTCCTATGACGTGAGATCTTGGATTGCTATCTTGCAAATCAGTGGGTTAACTGGCAGAATAGTACGGAAGCGTGCACTCTTAGGATCTCTCTGGCTTTTACTGTTTACTATCTATGGATGGAAAGATTTTACAGGCTAATTTTGATGCTTGTTGCATCAATGATTTGATGTTTACAAGGCTTGCCTCCATTCATCTCGGTTTGGGATTCTTGGGGAAGTATTGGCTCAAGGCCTATACTTCTCTCAGAATTCCTAACTTGAGATGGATCTCTGTTTTTATTTTTTGATTTACGAGCTTGGGGCTGCCTACTTGATGTTTGTTGCTGTTGTGTTGTGCTGGGCTGCTTTGCTTGCTGCTGTGTTATGCTGGGCTGTTTTGCTTGCTGCTGTGTTGTGATGGGCTGTTTTGCTTGCTGCTTGATGTTTGTTACAGCTGCGTTGTTGATGCTGATTTTTGCTATAGCAAATGGCTTGCTATGGGTTCATATGAACCATTGTTCTTTGTGTTTGTTCTCTTGTCGTACTTGGTCTGATCTTGCATATCAGTGGTGTTAAGGGGATTGTGTTTTGAGCCTCGGTTTTTTGAATTTTTTAATGTTTGTTTTTGGGTCCTACGTGACTTCATTGTACATTTTATGGCTGATTACCCTTGTATATTTGTTTTATTTTAATATACTTTACCTTCTGGAAAAAAAAAGAGTATGTTCCTTTGTAAATGTGTATTTGAAGATTTTATGTCTATCATGTGTTTGATAAAAAGTCAAAGTGACTATAAGTATCGAAATGATAAATTGTGGAAAAATGTATTGATTTTTATGATATAATTGAGTATATTTTACCATGAATTGCGGTATTGTTGAGTTATTTTAAAGTATGAAAAGGGTGGTATTGATATATATATATATATATATATATATATATATTCTCAATCATTTAATTTGCAAAATTTGCTATAAAAGGGTACAAATTGTATTTTTGGTGTGTATGTAAGTTATTTTGAAAATGTGTTATGTTGGAAATAGAAATGTAAGATTTCGTAAAACTATGTATTTTTTTTTTTTGAAGTGTCGAAATTGCGGTTGGTGTTGGAAATGGAAGGTGATCATGAAATTATGGTTTGAAACTTGTATGCTCAGTACCAACAAGTAGAGGGTTAATAGACGGTTAGGACCCTTTAGGGGGGTTACCAAGATGACTACTAGTTCTAGTGGGGATTAGCGATGGTAGTGATTTTCGGTGACAGCTTGTGTGGTATCACAAATTGTGTCCTACACATTCCCCCTGAAAAAGCAAGAAGGGCGATGAGACCCTAGAGTGCAAGATCCAAAAAGTTCCCCAGGGATGGTTAATTCATAAACTGGTGTTGGTTTGATGATATTTTTTCATATGAGTAGCATACATGAATTTTTGGTGCCAATAAACCAATAGCCAATATTCCAACAAATCTCTTGAGTGAGGTGAGATTGAGACAAAAGTATGTAGAGTTAATATTTTTAAAAAATAACCTAGAAAGAATAAGTTTATGGAATTGTATTCAAAATAAGAAATGATTACTTTGCTAAATTTATTATACATATATTTGTATAAGGGTTTCTCACTTTGTATTTTTTAAAATCAATGGTATTGCATTATGTTTTAAGGAGAAATGTTTTATAGGGTTACCTTGAGATTTGATTTTGACTTGGTAAATTTTTTATGTTGCACTTATGTATTTCAAATGATAGTACGTAGTGTACTTTCAAAAATTTTTATTACTTATCGTGTGCCTAGACTTATTGATAAATGATTTCATTACCTATTATTATGATTGCGAACTGTTAGTTTTTAAAACCTTGTAAATGCTTGAGAAAAATATTATCCTACTGAGCGTGTGGTTGCTCACCCCTATCATTTAACATTTTCAGTTATAGTCATATGTTGGTAGACTGTATAGTGGGATTGTCGAGGCAAAAGATAGTTGTTATGGCTTTATATATTTAGTTAGAGTATGTAAAGAACAATGTACAATGATGTATATTATTGAGGATTTGTAAGTGATTTATATCTTGGTTAATTTGAGGAAATATGTATAGATTGAGACCTTTTAAATGGTTTACTTATAAAGATTTTAGATATTCTATATTTTATGTTCATGACGAAGAATTTTGAATAATTAGATTATAATCAGAGTTTAAGAGAACTGTGTGGGCGTCCATTTGTTACCCTGGTTTTAAACAGTAATGATTTATTTTTGGATGTCATTCGAAGGGATGTTTATGGTTGATATGATGTGAATGACTAATCAAGTACAATTATTATGTTTAATGCTCTCACAGATAGCTCTCACAAATTATCTAGATGCCCGATTTTCAGAGGAAATTTTGCTGAATTTTTTTTTCAAAAAAATGATTTATGTAAACTAAAGACATACTTTTTTAGATGTTTTTACAACAAACTGGTATGTGTTTTTGAAATAAACAAAGTATTTTTTTTTTTAATCACGCTTTTGTGACATTTGGAGCGTGACAAGTTGGTATTAAAACTTAGAGATTAGGTCTTAAATGAGAGTTGAAGGGAAATGAGTATGCCACTATTGGAGATAGTTAGAAGACATGTATGGTGACAAAGACATTATTTTTGTGTCATGAGTTTTGGATGTCATAGAGAGTATTAGTGTATTTTGGCTGAAAATGTAGGAAAGTAAAAGGCTTCAAGGTATGACGATTTATGATTTTATAACTTTTTTTAGGTTATTTCAATTTAATTATTTTGCTTGATCCTTAGTTGCTTCACTTTGTGAAGTCAAGGATGTGCGGTAATTCAGTTATGTTGCTTGGAGATAAGGTCAACTATGACGTCCTTTATATAATTTTTGTTAGGTCAAGTAATTGGAATTGATAGAGAGGTTAAGAATTGAAGAAAGATTGGAAATTTTGGTTTGATGGTAAAAACTTTGAGATGGATATATCTTCCATGAAGGTGACTAAGATACTATAATATAGTACAATGCTCAAATACAATCAATTGAAGGAGTATGATAAAAATAACTAAGGTTTGGTGTCGATTTTGAAATATGAGTAAAAATTGTGATTTTGATTTTGAGTGGATTGAAGGTTGTTTTATGACCATGTATTTGATTATCGATAGTAGTTTGGAAGTAATATGGATAGTTGGCTAGTATTACTTTGGGTAGAATTAAATTTTAAGTGACGACTTAATTTTTGCACAATTGGGTTATAAGAATTGTTCAGAAAGAGTATGATTGGAGGATCGTGGTACAATAAATGATGAGTTATATTAAATGACTTTGTTTGAAGATTGATTGAGAATGACATGGTAAGCCTTTGAAGGAAAAGAAATATGGAGTAAGAAAATTAGTAATAACATGAAAAGTTATGAGAGATTAGACTATGTGTGAACGTTATAGGACAATAACTGTCTAAAATACATGGAAGGTTTTATCTTTGGGGGCAGAGCATGAACTAGTTCAGTTCTCATGTGATTTTATTTTGTAGTATTTGTTGTTCACAATATTTAGACCATCTAAATCTAGTGATAATTGGGAATCTCTTAGTTGAGTGTGGGGTTGATAGTTATGTTGTACTCATGGACTTTAAATGAAAATAAAGATCAAGGGTATGGACTAAAATTTTGAAGTCCCGTGCTATGAAAACCTACAAAGTTTAATAAATTTTTGTCCCTTAATATTGTTGGACTGTGGAGCATAGATGTTCAAAAATTTGAGATCATTTATATTGAGTAACTAATAGAACAATGATAATGTTCAATATTCGACATAAACTCTTATCGTGGTGTGACATCTTTTAATATCTTTGGAAGTTAAATATTTTAGAAATTTGAAAGTTTATCTCGAGATCTTTTCAATCCATCATTAGGTTTGATAGGCCGGGGTTGAGAATTGTTGGTATTAAAGATCATAGATTTTTGAAACAAAATCTTTGCAGTTGATTGTGATGTTAAAAGGTTTTAATATGGTAGATTGATGTTGAAAATTACACATGGTGATTTTGATATTAACAGACGAATGATTAATTAAGTTTCGATTAAAGTACGAGATTATTCTATTTGTTGACGAATGGATATCATCTTGTGGATCATGAGAAATTTTTGATGTTATGGTGATTAGTGGTATGGAATTGAAGAATGATTTGGACCCTTAGAAATATAATTTTATATTGGTTATATTTTATAGTTCAAGAAATATTAAGGTTCTGGATTGAATCATAGGGACTTAAGAGCTCCGTAAAATGTGTTGTAATCTTGGACATAAGGAAGCTATAACATTTCGCTAAGGGCTATTACTTGAGGCACTTTCTTGTTATCATAACAGCATTGGACATCTAACTCTTGGGAGATAATAATGAGTTTTCAATTGAAATAGGCATTAAGTGACGACCCAACACTCGAAGACAATGTTTGACGATAAATCTTATTGAAAAGTCAAAGAAAGATATAGGATAGATCAAATTGGTTTAAAATGTTGAGGTATTATGATAGTTTTAAAAGTATTAATCGAGGGTTCTGCATGCATTTTGTACTTATGAGAGATAACCAATGAGAATTTTTATCGGTTGTTAGTTTTGATTAAAATGGACTAAAAAAAGTGAATTGAAAAATTAAAATTAGTATCAAAGTGTGTAGTGAAAACATTTGGTTATTTATATTGTTAGGGTTAACCATTTGGTTATGATTACGCAGATAAAGGTGAAAAGTATAATTAAGACGTAAAAATCAATTTCTTTGATAACTAGGTGTCTATTTTGAAAATTATCATTATCCACAATCTTGTGGTGTTCACCAAATCACAACGACTTCAAGTTTGTCATAGGATTTAATGCTACATAGTGGATTAAATAGAGGATATATTATACAAGAATAAAAATGAGAGTTTTCCAGGACTTTTTGTTTGATTCTTTAGTAGTAATATTGAAACGTTAAATATTGTGACGATAATACCGAGTGTGTGTGAAAATTTTCTAACGGTTAATAATAGTATTTGATCAGGTATGAGAAATATATGAAGTAGGTGTAGTTAAAAAATTGAGTGGATAGGGTCATGCATGTCTTGGGTCGGACCATGTCATGAGTCGTGTCATGTCTTGAGCCTTGTACTTTGGAGTAGTATGGCTGGGAGCATGGGGCAAGAGTGTAATGGTATGTTGAATGACTCTAATATCGAGAATTAAATGATTACCGTAGGTGACAAGTAAACAATGAAGTCGCCAATCTAGTGGTGAATCGTGGTAAGAAATTAGTTTTGGTAGTCGTACAAGTTATTGGAAAAGTTTGATAGTTTAAAAAGAACGTGAATTTGAGGACTTATGATAACTGTGATGATGGGGCAAACATGGTAGAATCTGAGGCGTTATTATGGGACATGAAGCAATATTATAAGATTTAAGTTGAAGTGAAGAAATGTGATGGCAGGAATGGACTTGAAAATATTTTAATTGACCATATACTTGTTGTATGAGATTGGTAGATTTGTTGATTATCAGCCTTATATAAATATGTGATGGTGAAGATAGTAAATTCACAACAGAAACCTGAACATATACTCTTATGTTGGTGAATGGAATTCACTTAGTTGGATTGGTGGTTAACAATTGAGATTTAGACGAGGAAACCTAAGTTTCGAGGACGAAACTTATTTTATGGGGGGGTGGATTGTGA